AAGAGTGGTCCTGGGATGTCTCTATGGTTTTTCAATTGAATGGGGCATGTTGTATATCTAAATATAGGTAAATTGCAGTTAGGGAACTCAAATCTGGGTGTATTCGGTCTCCAGGAGTGGTTATGATTGCACAGGTAATCATTTTAGGTCATGGATTGTCAAAACAGTATTTTCTTTATTTTTATTTGTTTTATGTACTTAATTTCATTGATATTGCAAATGTAACACAAATAATGTTCAATAAACTTGAACTTTATTAACATTTTTTTTTTTTAATATAAATAAGAATCTAGGTGATGACATACATCATAAATTAGTACATCAAGAGCTCCTTAGGCTCCTCAGGTTGATTGGAGTCTGACTTTTCCCTGACTCCCCCTCATTCTGAACACCTTAATATCGTAGCTGCAATTTAATGGCGTAGTGCTCTCTGTTTTTTAGTGTAAAACATTCATATTAAGGTGTATGAAATGATTACTTTTCACAAATAATATATTGTTTTTTCACTTTTGGGGGATCGTTTAAATGAACAAAATACATTTAACCTATTTAAAGTACAATTTTCTAAGTAAAATTGGCATTTTAGAAAAGTTATTTAGCCGACATTCAAATTAAAAGTACTAGATGGTGTAGCTTTCTCGCTTTTAACTCAACAAGAAGTTAAAAATCCTTTTTTTTTTCATAAACAAACTCTTTACTAAATTGAACTCTTCTTTTTACATAAATAAAATCTCTTTGCATATATAAATACAAATAATACATTCTCTCTTTCATAAATCATCTTTTTAAACATGTTCACATAAATTTAACACAATGCAACAATTCAATGTACTTTAAAAAACCACTTAAACATAACAAAAATTAATAATAAAAAATTAGTAATTACTAATAAAAAAAACTATTAAAGGAAAATCACATGGTCGTCATAGAATGCTTCATAACTTTCCACAACAACATTTAAAATATTTAAAATAGGTTCTAAAAAGATTTAAGTGATTAAAAATCTAAAACCGTGATATGAAATTATACCGTAATACCGTATATATGAAATTATACCGTAATACCGTATGCATCTTCAGTTTTTTAAAGGCAAAATGTATGATGTTCAGGATGCAACAAATTGTTTTTTTTTTTTTTTTTTTGAATTGTTCGCATTCATTTCTTTATTTATTGACAAACGTTTTATTTTTTTTTTGTTTTAAGAATAATTTTTTTTTTTTTAAGAGGAATAAGATATAAATATTTTTTTTTTTTTTTTTTTTTTGAAGAAATTTAAATAAAAGGGCAAGGGTTGAATTAACGCATCGCGATTTGCGATATCTGTTAAATTATCTGGTCTTCAAAGTTTCAGTTTATGGAAAACCACGAAATTTACAGAATAGGCAAATAAACTTTAATTTGTTAGTGAAAATGTTATGAAAAACAAAACAATAAATTTATGACTACAAAAGTAATAATACTACAGTGTTGTTACTTTTATAACACTCTTTTATGTTACATTTATAGTTTATTGTTTGATCAAACAACATCTAATCAAGATATTATAAATAAAAATGATTTAGTTAAGTAATTCCAAACTTTAATTAAAGTAGCAATGCATCTAAAAAAAATACAATGGATATTTAAACAATGTTAAAAACCTCAGCAACTTTTACGAATACATATTTTTATAAACAGTTTAGCATTTCTAAACATCTTACTAACGGTCCGGAAAAAACGCGCATTCACTTTAAAATCAACCAATGAAAACACTGGTAATTTACTTCTTAGGAGAAATCTATATTAAAAGGGGAGGAGGGGAGGCTAAAAACTGAACTTTTGTTTTATTATTTAATCAATTAAATCATAATAAAAGTATGGACAAAAAAATATATTTCTAAATATACTTCTTTATAACTAAAATTTATTAAATTGAACACCTCTGTTTTTAGTTTTAAGTAAATGTCAGTACTACTCTCAGTGGCGAAACTGCAGACGATAGTTAGAGGGGCCAGAATATTCTCCAAAGTTCTTGAAAATTGGAACAACAGATGCCATTTTCTAACAGTAAAACAAAACTCATACACTTATTATATAGTTTAGAGAGAGTAATATAGAGTAATGGAGAAAACTTTTTGTTATTACAGGAATGTTGTCTGGACCACAAGCTATAGAAAAGTTTAATTTAGATATGACTTTAACAACAGAAACTGGAGTGATTTTAATGTCTAACAAAGGGTTAACCTGTTTAATTGGAGTGAAAGGAAGAGTATGACCATAAGGTTCAAAAGTTGAATTAAAAGAAAAGTTCTTTACAAATATTTCAGCCTTGGCCTTGGGAGAAGCAATAAGATCAGTCTCATAAGTTGGAGATGTAATGTTAGTTAATGGTACTCTTTTAATTAAAAGAAGACTTTCTTTTAATTAACAGAGTATCTAACTAAACCAAAACCCTCAATTGTTGTATCTAGTAAAATCAACTATGCCTAAATCTTACTTAGTCGATGTACACTTCGTTAACAGAGTAGTTACAGTCTGTTAACAGACTGTTACGGCTTTATGTGCAGTGCATGTTCTGCGCTTTGAATTTATATGGCTCAAGTGCAGAGCTTTATTTGGTTAGTGCTCAAAAGTGTGCAGCAACAAAAAACAATCTTTGTGCACTAACTAAAAAAAATTTTGACACCGAGAAATGAACCTGGAACCCTCAATTTACTAGCCAGGGGCAGAAACCACTCAGCCACACTATTTTTTTTTTATAAATAAAAGAAAATTTTATTCATAAAATAATATTTTTGAGTGTTAACTTATACAACTTTACACATCACTATTGGGGTGAAAAAAAAAACAATAAACAGACTGGAAAGTACTAATTAATTAACTCAAAGAAGCTCAGAGAATTATTAACATTATTGACGAATTATAGACCCCCCCCCCTTCCTCTCAAAAAAAACGTTAAAAAAAATTTTATAGGGGGGGGGGCACAAAATTGTGCATAATATGGGGGGGGGGGCAATAAAGTGTTCAAATGCGAATGTAGAATGAGGATTGACTTTGAACTGACAAGAACAAATAAAAGCTTCCATACCTGCCTGAATCCAGGAGGTTATGTAAGAGGCACATTAGTGGAGAGAGAAAAGTCATCAGCCCAAGGACCTCACAAATATAATCATGAAAAGAAACCCAAACAGCTTTAGGGTATTAGTAATTAGTGCAATTAGAGTCCAAAGAAGAAGTAGTGAACTGAAAGTTTTTTAAGGAGAAAATCCATATTTGCAAAGAAGAATTAAGAGAAAGTAGTAACTGAACACAAAATAGGGTCAAAGTCAAGACGCAAATCAATGAGTGAAGGTTGTTTGGAAAACGAGTCACAAAGTTTATTATTTGAGTAAGAGATAGTTAACTTTGTGAGCAAGCAAGCAAGTCTGGTAAATTTTGCAAGTGGTATGATGCGACTGATGAAAAGTTATTTAACAGTTAAGGCACTATATCACCAATACAGTGTATTAACAGTTATATAGTGTAATACACAATATCAGAGTTTTAATAGTTAGGGACTGTTAATACTCTGATATTTAACAGCTGTAAATGGAATTAGTCTCTTTGAGAGCTACTACAGAGGGAGGGAAAACTGCCCAAGATGAGTATTTTTATTGAGACACTTCCTCTAGCCTTTGATCAATCAAGAGTTCCAAGACTAGGGGAATTCTAGCTTGATGCAGACATTACATCTAACAGAATACAAGAGATTAAGGTGAGGTTAGGTTGGTGTATAAAGTTACTTAATGTATTGTTACATACATAAAGTAACTTACCGGTGAGTGAATACTGTGCCAGAGGTTCTAACAAAACACAAACATACATAAAGTAACTTATGGATGAGTAAACACTGTGCCAGAGGTTCAGATAGAACACAAACATACAAATAGCAACTTCTCCTGGATTCAGGCAGGTGTGTTAGCTTTTAGGTTTATACAGAACATAAACATACTTATATAGTAAATTACAGGCAAGTTAACACAGTAACTAAGATACCTCCAACTATATACAAACATATATATATATATATATATACATATATATATATATATATATATATATATATATATGTATATATATATACATATATATCACTATAGGCATCACAGATATTAGATATTATTGATGACAGAAAGTACATTTCCTCTATCATTTGCTTAGAAAGTAAACTTCAATTGTTTTTGAAGAGTTTATTACAATTTCAGGCTAGCTAGCAACCTTACATGAAGATCAGTTAACATTCTCCTTGGCACACATATTTGTTTCATGGTAGTTGATTATTTGATTTGCAAATATATTTTTATGTTTTAAGTTTTTCAAAATAATTGTTGATAATATTAGGTAGTATTTAATTTTTTGATACTACCATATTAATACTAATATTGATTTTAAAGTGAATAAGTTAAGAGGATATATTTTTTACATGTTTTTAAACTGTATCTTTAAACTATAAATGTTACTTTTTCATTTATTTTAAATTGTAATAGTAGGATTAGTTGTAGTAAATATAAACTGCTTTTTTTATTTTTTTATTGTAATAGAAGCTATGTAGTAGTTTTTTCATTTATTTTTAATTGTTGTAGTAGATATAGATATATAATATTTGGAAGTTTTAGGAATCTTTCAAATAAAAATTTTTTTGATGTCATGATTGAAAGTCTTCTTGTATTTTAACTTTTCTTCATTAAATTCTTTTCAAAACTTCTTTGACCCCAATGTTTCTAACCTAAAAAGGTATAAACACTAATATCATATCAGTATAAATCTAAATTTTAAAAGTTTAAATAAGAATCATTGAAAAATGAATATTACAGTAAAGTAAAAAGTGTTTTATTTTTGCAAGTGAAACAAATATCTGGTGTGAATAAAAACGCCTTTCTTATTAATTTTACAGGGTCTATTCATCTAATAAATGAACGTGTTTTTAATGTTTTTAAAATTTATGTTTGTATTTAATATTCTTTACTATAACGTTAATTTAGATTATGAAGCACGATTTCAGTTTTCAAATGATTTCCCAGATCCTGATCAGTTTCGAAATATTCAAAAAACATACCCAAGTAAAGCTGCTAAAAATAATGAGAAAAGTAAGTTTATTTTGTGTTTTAAACAATTAATAAGCATAAAAAGAATTAATTTAACATTAGCTTTGTGATGTTACAGCTTTTTTATTCTTTAATACTAATTCAATACCAACAAGGCTGCAAGCAACCACTATTTAAGTTGGAAGTTACTAGAAAATTAAGAAGTTTGGAAGCGAGATTGACAGAAGACTTAAAGAACTGTAAATTAAACAAATTATGTTGCAGATTAAATTTTTCTCTTTAAAAAAAATAGGGGAGAGGGACTTAATTGTTTAAAATAATTTTGTTTAAAGTTTTTTTTGTTGTTTATTTGTTTCTGTTGTTTTAACTTTTGTTGCATTTTTATCTAGAACAAAATCAATTTAATATACCAAATCGTTCAGCACCACCTCCACCGCCGTCTGGTCGCAACGCGCCTTTGCCACCACCGCCTCCTCCTCCAAATAGAAGATAGATTGTATTTCAAGTATTTTTTTTAGTATGCTTGCAATATTCTCTATAAAGGGTTTTTGAAAATGTTTATAGTTGTTATGATTACTTTGTTACTTAGTTATTGTTGCCATGACTATTTAACCATAATTTGTATTTTTTTTAAAAAAATTTGTTGGAATTTACAATTCTGATTTATATACGCTATTTTTTTATATATAAATTGTGTCTAAACAGTGTAAAATTAGAAAAAAGCACACTAAATAATTTTTATGTTGCAATTAATTTTTTTAGTTTGTAGATCTAAACAGGCTGATCAGGTAGACAGGCATATTTAGATAAAATTTATTTTTAGTGAACATTTATAACAATATGGATTTTGTTTTATCGCTAGAATTTAATAAAAAAAGTTTTCGCTTTTATATAAATTCTCAATTGTTATTTCTTAAAGTTGTTTTGTAACAATTTTGATATTTCTAAGATGAAATAGTTTTACATAGTTACACTATTTAATAATTTTAGCAATACTTTTTTCACGTACTTATACTCTTTCATTTATTTTTATTCTATCAGCAGTGGCGGACTCAGCATAGGGCGTCCTCCCTGCTCCCCCACGCTCTCTAAGTCGGTCAACTGGCGACCCCTAAAATGTAAGTTTCTCATTACAAAATTCTGCGTGACATCAAACCATTGTTTACATACCTGTTTTACAAATTTGTACGCGTTTATGTCAGAAAACAAAACGGAGTCGTTTTTTTTTAAAGAAAATATAGCTTATAATCATAATGTACACAGTCAATGAATTTTTAACATTGTTCAGTATATCAAAACTACTGTGACAGATGTTCATAAAACTAGAATAACTTTGCAAACAGCAAACGACTTTTTTTTAAGGAGAAAAACAAAAAATTATAAATTGACTAATTTCAACATTGTGGAGCAATTTGTTTTTAATGTTTTCGGGAAAAATCCCTATAGCCCCCCTTCCCTTCTTAAAACCTACTCGCGCAGGCATTTTTTCAAAGATGTGTATGCATCAATATCTCTAGCAATAACGACTCGACTACAAAATGAAAAACGTACATTCATTCTTAATTGAGAAATAGATGACATTATGTTTTCCTAACTTGTCTATACTCTAAAAAATCGACTTGATTCTTTCTTCATTTTTTCTTGATTCTTTCTTCATCTGATTTTTACATCTGCTAATGATGAGAGAAGTTTCAATAGACTAAAGATCAAAATTGTTGCCAAGTCTACTTTGGTTAAAGATAATTGTTGACCAAAGTAAATTTAGCAGACTCAAACTTTTGATTTTGAGTTGTTTAGTGTCTTAAACGTACTCAACAGTTATGATAAAAGCATCGATAAAATCTATTTATCATAAGTGTGATTCTCAAAAAGTATACATTTTTAAGGGGTTAATGTGCAAACCCTTGTTGCCCCCTTCCTCCTCCTCCAAGACGCTAAACCTCAATCCGCCACAAATACACGTGTGTATATGTATATATATATATATATATATATATATATATATATATATATATATATATATATATATATATATATATATAGCTGCTCCTTTAAAAAACAGCCGGTTCATATAAGTTTTATTACGTCTTTTCAAGATTTAATTGAGAACACGAAGATTGTAGTTAAGAAACGTAAGATATAATTGAGCACACGAATGTTGTAGTAGGAATTTAAAATGTAATTGAGAATTTGATAGTTGTAATTAAGAAAGGTATACAATATACTGAATACAAAGATCTTTGTTTTCTTAATTTTAAGCCTCAATTTACTTCGTAATATCAAGGCAGGATTTGCTTCTGGCTAATTGAGTTAATTTTCAATAAATAATAATATATTATCAGTAAAATAAGAAAAATCATTAAAAAGACTTTCGGCCATAAGCGGTAATTGGAAAAATCCCATCGGGTGTCAATAGAAACAATTTATTTTTTTCAGTTCAATTAAAAGTTATATAAAACATAAATAGTTTATTTAAAAAAAAAATATGTTATATAATTTAAACAAAGTCAATAAAATTTACCGCAGTGCTCAGTTAAACACAAACTTGAACTTCCATGTTTAAAATAGTTACGTAGTAGTATAGTAAATAGAAATGTGAGATCAAGGTCACACGTTTTGCAATCGCTTCCCAGTATTGTATTTTTTACTGCAGTTAAAACTTTTTAAATATTGCATTCGTTGTTCCAATTTAGGTGAAATGTAGTTTGCATTTTTAATATCAAGAGGTATTTTCTGAGAAAACCAGGCATAAGTACCGTTGGCTAAAAAGTGACATCTTTCAATCACTCAATTTTTTATATAGTAAAGCTGATAAGGTAAAAAAGAAGCATGTAAAATATTTTTTTCTAAATGTTTGTAGTTTTTGAGTTATGGTTGGTCAAACCTTTGACCTTTTAACATTTGGGGAGTCATTATAGGGGTTTTGCGATTTTTAAACTAAAATTAAAAGCAATGAAACGACTGTATCCTGAGTTTCTTTTTATATTAAAGAAGTAGAACCTATATGTAAAACTGTCAAACAAAAAATTGAAAAACTAAGCAGAACTCTTCTAAAAACCATAAGCTGAAATAGCACATTTTGAAATTTGAGGTCTATTTTAAATATATTTATCTCAAAACATAAATAGTTCCCACAGGGTATCCGATTGTGACTTGAATAATTTTAAAAAGTTGTAAGGGAGGGGGATGTATTGCTTAAAAAATGTTTAAAAAAAGTAACTATGAGTCATCAAACTGTCAAAAAAGTAACGTTCCCAAGATTGGATGCATAGTTTATCTGTTAATCCACAATACCATTCTTTTTATTAAGGAAAACCGGGGAGGGGGTAATATAGCATTGCTGAAATAACTCCACTACAAAAAGTTAAAAAAAGTTGTATTAAAAAAAAAAAAAAAACACAGTGGAATTACTCAATATTTGTCTTTATCTTGATATGTCATTGTCGGAGGTGTAGATAAAATTTTTTGATGCTTTGAAAAATACACTTTCAATCATTATGCAAACTCCAAACTTAAGTATGTTCATGCTTATGTTAAATGAGAATGCTTTGCAATATATTGCGATAATTAGTTTTTAGTTTAGTTTATTTCGCCATTTTAAAATGTTTACAATGTACAAAAATATAGAAAAAGTATATAAATGGCTGGAGCAAGTAGAAGACATCAGTTAGCCATATCACAGAACCCTATTAAAAACCCTTTATAGAGCCTGGGAACAATTACAGCACGTGCTGTGCAACGTTTGACCTCACATTACGTTACTATTTTAAACATGGAGGTTCAAGTTTGTGCTTAACCAATAGAAGGACGTTTAACTCATTGTTTAAAAACCAAGATATGTGCGCTTGCATTTGTTATAAAATAACAATAGCCGAGCAATAGGAAACATTTGCGTCACGTGGAATTACTTTTGTATGATTATATATCAAAATGACAACTTTTAAACCATATGATTATTCTAGAACTCTACTTGTAAAAAAAAATTCAAATACCAAAAAATATCTAAACAAAGTTGTGAGATTTGATTTCCTTCAAAAATTAGAAGATTAAATCTTTATGAAAATAGTAAATTTAAAGTGTAATGATTGCCAATCTAGTTCAATCTTCAAATGATCTAGGATATGATTTACAACACGTAGAAAATTCTTTTTACTTTACAATATTCATATTTGTATATCATATATTGCATTTTAATAAAACACATTATTTTTGACGTCAAAGTTTATTTACAAGTAAGCTATTATTCAACAAAGCTTGCATTTTAACTAAAATGTTTTCAAACACATGAGTCCATTCTTAATTACATAAAATGCATTTATATTTTGCAAAATTTAATATTTTACGAGTAATAAAACATTTACTGAAAGAAGTAAGCAAGCCAAAAACGTCGGTTAAATGTCGGTTTTTTTTTGTAAAATTATTTCAAAAAATGACGCTAAGAATTTCAACCCGCAGTAATTGGCGGCGCCTCTGATCTATAACAATGTCTTAAAAGTCAATCTATTAGTATATGTAAATTATAAAAAATTTTATAATTTTTATAATATACATGGATTGTTGCTTGAAATTCATTTTGGACTTTGACACTGACAATCTCATTTATATTGCCAGGATAGTAAAACTTTTTGGCAATGGTATTTTAACCAAATTTCAGATTCTTCACCAACGCTTTTAAAAGCAAAAAATTTCGATTCATTCTTTAACCAAGCTCACATTAAATCAATAATTTATAATCAATAATTTCTTCTTCAGCAATTTCAATATCATAAAATGTATCCGCGTCAACAGAATTATCTGATGCTAATCTTTTTAGTTTAAAAATGGATTCGCTTAAACTTTTACACTCATGGCAAATCGTATCATTAGGTGCTATTGAAATTTGCTACGATTTTTTGTCAGTAAAATCACTCAAACCAAATATTGGACAGTGGAAGAATTAAGGTACGTCACACTACAGTTGAACTAAAAATTTGTTTTATAAAATCCTTTGCTACGCTCAAATATATTACTTTTGCATCTGCAAACTTTATTATAAACTGCAATTATATGATGCATTTCTGCAGTTAAAACTAAACAAGATACTTTCACCATTACGCCATTTAAAAAACTGCACAAGATATATTCACTATACACCATGTAAGTCAAATTTAATACTTGTGACTTATTATACAACATCTTGAAGAAGGCTGTTGTTAAATATGAAACCAAGGATATATTCTGCTTTTTTCTGATCTCATCTATTTTTCGTACCTTTTAATAATTTCTTTTTTGGCAGAAATAGTTAAAGGATATAGAGGGGTAATTGAACAACTTTTAATAAACCTAACAGATCTCATAAACAATGCGTCGGATTTACATAATTCTAAAATTTTTAGCAAATTAACTCTACTAGGCAAGGTGTCACATTAACTGGGTTTTAAAGAGAACAATAAGACTTAGAAAAAAAAGGGTAATTTTAATCAAAAGTCTGATAAATTGGTAAGATATCAACACTTAAGTGATACTAGATGAAAAAATTTACAAGCATCCAAGAGAAAAATAGTGAAATGTTTTTTTTACTTTTTTGGTCCAAAATTGTATTTTACTCAATTGTTTTCCAGCAATCCTTTGTTGTGCATTGTGTTAACATTCTGGTTCTCTAACTTTCATCCATTAGACGTTTTAATACTTTAATTGTTTAACTTACGATAATGCTCAACTAGTCCCGCTCTATCCTACCAATGTTTCATCGTTCGTACCCGGTCTATTTTGTATTTGGAGCATCAAAAAAATTTCATAATTATGTTTAATAAAACACTGTGCAACAATGTGTTTACCCGTAGAGTCACTTTCTTGGTAAATTTTAATCAAGTTTTTCAAACCTTCAAGTATCATTGTTTGAAGTTTCCGAAGATCA